TTACTAACAATCTTTAACACATTTACAATCCCAACTAAACTATTGGCCAGTACCTTGAATGGACTACCTAAAACTATATACACCCGTTTTGGTTAGCCACACTGCCCAAGCACCACATATAGCGAACTAGAGGGCGGAATTTACAAAGTTGCCCTTCTAGTCTATTTACTCTATCAAAAGTCTAGTGGGTTCCAAATTTACACGCCTTCCCACTTAGCCAAGATAGGTTGAGAGCTAGCGAACCGAATTTACACAGGCGCCGCTTAGTCTCCCGGTCCCTCCGACCTAGCGAACGTAATATACACCCTAGAACGCTAGTCTAGACAAGACACCGGTGTCCGGCTAGGGCTATTTACACAGGACCCCGCCTGACTAACCAGATCAAACGGTCTTACTAAAGAGCGTTCGATCGAGCGGTGCGCCTTCGCTCCTTCCCTCCGACAGAGGGGGCAGATTCCATACACAGATTTAAACCCCTTTTGGGCCTACCGCACAATCGGTATACCCCTAGTGGGTCTGCCGTCTAAAACAGCAGTTGTCTTACCTCCTCGTTCCTGAACCTGAGTTCACACTCATCGACGGGGACACCCCAGCACTTCTTACGTAGAGGCCGATGATCTCCTGGACAACAGACCAGTGGCGCCGAGACGAAGGGAGGTCCACGCAGAAGTTCAGGGGTGCAGCCGTAGAGAACGTGGGCAAAGATAGACCGTCTCACGCCTCTGCCTCTCAGCTACCGTTGAACGATGAGCTTCCCCGCCAATGCACCAAATGATACCGGAGAAACTGACGGAAGCAAAGCACAGAGGGATGGACACAGGTTTCTTCAGGAAGGAAGAGATTCTTTATTGGATCACCGATCGGGACTCAGAGGGACTAATGTCACCAAAAATACAGCAAGTTCTGAGCCCTGAACAATAGTGCAGGCTCCCTATATAGGCACATAACTCCTCCAATATTAAGCTCCACCCGCACATTCTCTTGACCAATCATTACAAATAAGAATTAACTTCCTGTTTGACCGCATGGCTTGTCCAGCACAATGGAGGAGGGGAATACTACATCCTGTATTCTTGCACATGCTCCGTACACTACTGATCGTATCTTGCCTCGTGCAACCAACTGATCGATACGTCAGCATATGCACGTACACATGCCACGTGGTAATCTCGGCCTACTAAATTTATTTTTACCGAGATTCCACCACAATTTGTTTTTAAAATGGGCAGGTTGAATGGGCCTATATGAAGTCGACTCAATTTGGGGGGGGGTTTGTTTTTTTTACTATTTTGAAATGAACAAAAGAAAAATAGTACATGAAAATAAAAAATGTATGTAGTTTGGGGTAATTGCCACAATAAAGGATTCATCTCCCGTTTTTCTTGTTTATTTGTGTTGTGGAAATAAGGTCTACACATATTTCCTAGTTAGTGAAAAATGTCTATTTACTCATTTCACGATACATATATATATATAGCTAAGCACACACGTTATAATTAAGATGGCTGCTGGAAGCTTCTAGCTCCTTCCCCCTCCCCTCCCTTTCTCCTTCCTAACATCGACTAACTACCTCGTGCACCAAGATGGCGCCGGTAAACCGTGGGAGACCCTCATGGCCCCGGTGACATCACCTACAGTAGGCAGAGCATTGAAGCAACCACTTAACACCTAACCAATAATTGATGTATTATTCCATGTTATCTCTGACAATGCTTATGATGTAATTTTGCTTTAAAAGGGACCTGCCGTCCCCTCTGAATAAACATTCCTCAAGTTATTCAACAACCTAGAACCTGTGTCTGGTGTGAATTACTTCAGGGAGCGTGCACGCATTGTTTCATTGATTTGGCCAGGGGCAGATACACAAAGAAATAATCAATACTTTAATTGATTTTTCCCATTTCAATTGGCGCCCAACGTGGGGCCACCGGAGGGCCGGTTCGGAGGGCCGGAACCAACGGACCGGAGCGGACCCCTGGAAAGTGGGACAAGCGGAGCCTGATCACCTCCATAATACAGCCGTTGCCTGTGTTATTCTCCTGTTTTGTGTCGGTCTGTCTCCGAGTCCACTTCCGGCTTCCAGAAGGCTACTAGAGACAGGTAATTAACTCATCCGGTGTGCCTTTTTTTAGGTGAACCTGTCAATTGTCTATCTGCCTCCTGTATTCGTTTGTGTGCGTGTGTGTGCGTGTTTCTCATACTTCTTTTAAGTTAGCTTGACTGCCTAGCGGGCAGGGGACGCATTACAGCCGGTGGGGCTGGGATTTTACAGCCGGAGGGGCTGGGATTTTACAGCCGGTGGGGCTGGGATTTTACAGCCGGTGGGGCTGGGATTTTACAGCCGGTGGGGCTGGGATTTTACAGCCGGAGGGGCTGGGATTTTACAGCCGGTGGGGCTGGGACTTTACAGCCGGAGGGGCTGGGATTTTACAGCTGGTAGGGCTGGGATTTTACAGCCGGTGGGGCTGGGATTTTGGTTGTTCATTACTGTGCTCCCATTAATACCTGGGGGTATACCGGGACCAGCCTGGTGGGTGGAGGCTGAGGATTGCTATACTTCGATTATTTGGCACCGGTGTCATTAACATGTACATGGCCATTTTACTCTCTGTCATTCTGTGGTTTTTGTTCAATTGTTGTTACAGCGTGGGTACCCTTGGTGTGTGTGTGTGTATTGTGTGGTTAGTTCTGGACTCCGGAGTCTATGCTCATTTATATGTTTGTGATTTTTGCAAATGTCTTCTCATTAGCGCAGCCACGTTCATCTTTTCTTTTGTGCTTTATCTCTCCTGTGCCTGTTGCCCAGAGCTGTGTTAGTCACCCACGCTCATTCGCTCCCGTCCGTGACCACCACCCCGGGTGGGCGGATCTCCGTAACTAGTCTACGTTTGGGGAAGACGCACGGGGCTCAAGTTCTCGTGGCAGTCGAGCACTGTAGACACTCTTTTTTCCCCTCCTCCTTTATACCTCCTCTATTCACATGTCCTTAACAAGTGGCACGCTTTGATTAGTCAAGATGGGGCAGGAACATGCTAGACCTGCTAAGGGCTTGTTGGCTTGCGATATTGTGAAAGAAAGAGCAGGGGAGGATGCAATGATGAAACTTAAAAAGATTGCTAAGGTGTGTGGCTTCCAGATGTTGCCCAGTGGGAGATTGCAGCCAGAGTTTTGGCGAAAGCTACTCATAGACAAGGAAGGTTTACTGTTGGACAACGGACTCACAAAGGTTGCAGAGGCCTGGTATCGTGTAGCTAGAGGTCTGAAACGGGAAGGTTGGGTCGAGGAAGAGTTGGAGTTTGAGGGGCAGATTGTACATGTTTACCATAGGAATGTTCTCAATGATAATGTCACTTCTATTGTTCCACGGCCACCACCCTATGATGGCGCCCAGAGCGCAACAGTAACCTCCCGCCCTGCTTCCCCCGTCACAGCACAGACCCCACCCCCCGGGGATGTATCTCCAGCCCCCACCCCCCTTTGTCCCGTGCTCGGTGTAGATGGAGCTTACTATTTCCCAGTGCCACACCACTCGTTCCCACCCACTCCCATGCACCAACCCCCCTGTGACCAATCCCCCCCTTTCAGCCATCATCCTGTTTTGCCCGTCGGAGCTTCCCCACCTCCATGCCCCCTGTTACCTTTCCCAGGGCCTGTCCTTACTCCGAGTATTACCCCGACTATTCCCGTCTCAACTATCGATGTCCCATCCTCCTCCTCCTCTCAATCCCTCTCCCCCCTGAGTACCCCGTCGCTGGTAAACCCCGTTCCCTCACCCTCTTCATCCATCCTGCATCCTGCGCCCTCCGCTCCTACCCACTCAACTGACCCCGTCTCCCCGGACCCCCGTCCCCCGGTTGCCTTCCCTTCTCCAGTATCCTCAGGAATCCCCGTGACCCCTACCCCTGTATCCCCATCTTCCCCCATTCCTTCTCATCCCCTTTCCTCCTCCTCCATTTCCAAGGATCCCCCGCCCCTACTCTCCACTCTCATGAATCTTGTCCAGCCCGCTAGTCCCAGTTCCCTTGCCTCCGCCCCCTTACCCACGGATTCCCCTCCCATCTTCAAGGTCCCGCCTACTGCTCCTCCTCCAGTGTTTCCTCCTCCTGAAACCCCGGCCCCCTCTACCTCATTGTCTCCCACTCCCACGGCCGATTTGCCGTCCCTGATCTCCGCCCTCACCGCCCTAACCCAACTCTATGCCGTCACCCCTCCAGCTCCTCCTCCAGTGTCTCCTCCTCCTGAAACCCCGGCCCCCTCTACCTCATTGCCTCCCACTCCCGCGGCCGATTTGCCGTCCCTGATCTCCGCCCTCACTGCGCTAACCCAACCCCCCGTTGCCACCCTCCCAGCCCCTTCTCCCGTGTCATCTCCCCCCAGTATCCCTGCTCCCCCGACCGTACAGCCCCTTGACCCCGTCCCTCTGACCCCTCCCCCCGTGAACTCTGACACACCCACGACCGATGACCTGCCTGGTTCAATATCCGCCCTCTTCACTGCTGTTACTTCCCTGGTTAATTCCGCGATCCCCGTGCCACCTCCCATCGACGTACCTCCTCTTCCTCCTCCCCCTCCCCCTGCGCCTCCAACCCCACCCTTGTCCCCTGCCGATGTCCCCGAGCCCTCCGATCCCATCTCCGCCCTCGCAAATGTCCTCAACAACCACCTTTCACGCCCTACCCAATCGGCCCCCGTGACAACCCCTTCCACAGCCTTGATCCCTCATATCCCTTCCGCTGGCCCTAGTTACCCAATCATGGTGGTTGGATCCGAGGTGTCGGGGACATCTGACCAGCCCTATGCGATGGGTGCCTCCCCCCAGGCTTCAGGTTTCCACCCAGCTACCTCACCTGTCACCGCCCTCCCTGTTGTCCCAGCTACTCCTGAGACTACTCTCCGTCGTGGCCCAGTGCTGCCCGCCGAGGTAGTTGTGGTTGACCAGAATTCAACACACCTGGGGGTGAATAGGCTCCCCCAACAGCAAACTATCCCTCAGGGATATACCCCAATCAACCATGGTGCGGATGGTGCTCCACCTATGTATGTTACCTTTAACCCTTCCCAAGCTGCTACCCTTGTGACCTCACTCCCTGATCCTGAAAAACACCCCATGCCCTTTTTCCGTAGGATGGCTCAGGTCCGTAAAACATACTCCGCTGCTTGGCGGGATCTCATTAGTCTATGTGAAATAAAGGCTGGTGATGCATACTGGCCAATCATGGAACGGAGCTTTAATGATGCTCCACTTACTTCTGATACTGACTTTCGTTCTGGTGAAATTTTTTGTGAACAGCTTCGTGCCTGGGCACAGGATAAACTAGCAGATCAGGCTACTTGCATCAATGATATCCTACAGGACAAACTTGAGACAGTTGAAAAGTATCACTCTAGGTTGACTCAGACTTTTTCTGACTTAGGGTTTAGTACTTACAACAAAGCACACACCCAGATGCTATCTGCAGCTTTTGTGGCAGGGCTTAGGGAAAATATTCGTAAGGGTTTAGTTTTAGCCCGACCTGAGTATAGAATTATTCCACTGGACACTCTCTTGTTGGTAGCCAAAGGCTTAGAGTCTGTTATGCTTCCTACACAGCGTAGAACTAGTCCACTGATGTACGCTACCTCCACCCCAATCGCAGGTCCAACCCAGGGCTCTCAGATGCTCCCCCAACAGTTCACCCAGCCCCCCCCCGACACTGCCTGCACCAATTCCTTTCTCCCGTGACCGGACTGTCACGACAATCCGGACCTGCTTTAATTGTAATCAGCCAGGTCACTTTAGGAGAGATTGCCCACACCCTAGAGTGCTCCGTCAACAGACCCTCAGGTACCAAAACCCCCATGTCACCAGCTATAACTTCCCCTCCACTGGTTATCTCCCTGCCCTACCCCATCCACAGCTGCCTCAGCTACCTCCTCCTCCTCCCCCTCCCCCGCCTCCTGAGTACTCCCAAGCCCGGCTCCCCGCAGCAGAGGCCCGTGCATACACTTCACCCTCCACTGAAGGGTATGATACTGATGACTTCCAAGACAACCAACCTCATCCCCGCCATGCCCTCCGTCCATCCCGCCCACCCATGCATTCTGTCAACCCTCCCTCCACCTCCCGCCGGTACCAGGGACCAGATCAGGCCCACCTTGATCTATTGCAATAGGTAACTGGCAAGCCTGTGTCAGCAACCCCTGCTATGGCAGTGTCTGCAGGGGATGGGGGAGGACCCTTGGCTACTGTAGTTCTCCCCGTGGAGGGTCACCCAACCACTTTTTTAGTTGACACAGGTGCAGCCCGTAGTGTCCTTAGGGAACAAGACCTGCCAGATCCTTCCTTCCTGTCTGACACTGATGTATCCTGTGTTGGGGTGGATGGTACACCACGCAGTAACCCCCTTACCAAGCTCTTACATGTAGGTTCACACATCCTGTCCCGTTTTGTTGTTTCTTCCACTTGCCCCATTAACCTCCTAGGTGCTGATGTCCTCTCCCGGCTCCAGGCTTCCATAACCTTTACTGCAGATGGACAAGTTGAGTTAACAACCCCCTTATCACAAAAAGATACTTCTGTGCTCTGCTCACTCCCCATCCTGTTGAACCTAACAGACAATACAGGGAATGCACGGGTCACACACACCCCCAGTGCTCTGGATCGTATCCCCCAAGAACTTTGGTCCACCGGCCCGGATGATATTGGACGCTTACATGTACCCCCCGTCTTGGTCCAGCTCCTGCCTGGAGCACTTCCTCCTCGTCGACCTCAGTATCCTCTGAAGCCAGCACAAGCTGATGCCATCACCAAACAAGTTGAGTCTCTGCTTGCCAAAGGTGCCCTCACCAAGTGTACGTCTCCATGCAACACCCCACTCTTCCCTGTTAAAAAACGAACTATTAAGGGCCAACCCGACCAGTACCGCATGGTACAGGACCTCCGTGCCGTTAATGATGTAACCATTAAAGACACTGCTATTGTTCCAAACCCCCACACCCTTTTGTCCCAAGTGCCACCAAATTCAACTGTTTTTACTGTTGTGGATCTAGCTAATGCCTTTTTCAGTGTTCCCCTTGACCCTTCCTGCCGTTTTCTCTTTGCCTTCACACATGAAGGACAACAATATACCTGGACTGTCATGCCTCAGGGAGCTCAGAATTCTCCCACACAGTTTGCTCATGCCATGTCCCTGGTTTTGGATCCCTGGCAGAAATCTCACCTGGATGTTGTTCTACTTCAATATGTTGATGACCTCCTTCTCTGTGCTCCTAATTTGTTTATTGCAGAACGTGACTCAGAAGATCTTCTATGTTTCCTCGCTACTGCTGGGTGCAAGGCCTCAAAATCAAAGCTGCAATGGTGCCGGCCCTCTGTGGTCTTCTTGGGACATTGCATTTCCCATGGCACCAAACACCTAACCTCTCAACGGGTGCAAGCTATCCTTCAACTCCCATTACCTGCAACCCACCACTCTCTTCATGCTTTCTTGGGTCTCATCACATACTGCAGGTCCTGGATACCTGAAGCATCCAAACTCATGCAGCCTCTCTATGATGCACTCCGGAGTGAACCTTTTCACCTCACTGAAGAAACTATTAACTGTTTCCATACTCTGAAACGAGCTATTGCTTCTGCACCTGCCTTGGGCCTACCCAACTACCAACTCTCTTTCAATTTGTTTGTCTCTGAGAGATCAGGACATGCTTCCGGAGTCCTTACTCAGAAACATGGGTCCAGACAACGGCCCATTGGCTATTTTTCCTGTATGCTTGACCCTGTTGCAAGGGGCAGCCCCTCTTGCCTCCGTGCTGTGTTTGCCGCCAGTGCCCTCCTGGACAAGACTAATGACTTTGTGCTTGGCCATCACCTTACCGTGTTGGCCCCCCATGACATTACTGCTATCCTGCAACAAGTTCAACCCAAGCACCTTTCCTCCCAACGCCACCTCCGCCTGCAAACCTCATTGCTTTTACCTGATAACATAAAACTTCAGAGATGCCTAACCCTGAACCCGGCCACTCTTCTGCCACTTCCCAAGGGGGGGATTGTGTACCACTGGTACAGCCTTGATATCAACCCGGAAGTTCTAACAAATCTGCAACTACCTACATTTGCACCTCCACATGATGAACAATCAATGGCCCTACTTCATTGCACTTTGTGGATTAGGGATGAACCAGGCCCTGATATGAATTACGAGGCAGAAGTATTCCAACTCAAAGAAATCCAAATTACCCTGACTGACTTGTTTTGGGACCTCACAGGTACCATGCTTATCTTGGTCCACCTCCCAGAGAGTGTGACACATCTCTATCACCATTGGGAAACATCGATCCCACACATATCTCTCACCAGACCCCCCGACATCTCGTGGAAAGACCTAGGCCCGATGGCCAAAACCTGGAGTCAAATGACCCCAGAACATCTGACTTCTACGAGAATCAACAAAAAGACTATTAATTGCTGTACAACTGGGTACCCCAGGTACCATACAGAAGCCTGTGAGGGTCCACTTACCACAGACTGTGACCTCGATATCCCTCATGATTGCTTTGAACAAATGAAAATGGAAACTACACATCTACCAACTGTCTACGAAGCTGCACTACTCAACCCGGACCAAACATTATTTGTGGATGGGTCAAGATTTGCTGATGAACAAGGGCAATATCACACTGGGTATGCAGTTACTACAGAATGTCAAGTGTTACAAGCAGCTGCCCTGCAACCAAATAAGTCTGCTCAAGAAGCTGAATTGACAGCTCTAACTGTGGCTTGCAAATTGTCTGAAGGGTTGCGTGCCAACATTTACACGGATTCAAGATATGCCCTGGGAGTAGCACATGATTTTGGCTTAATTTGGAAGACCAGAGGATTTCTTACGGCCACTGGTACCCCAGTAAAGCATGGGGCAGCCATTGCAGAGCTGATGGACGCATTGGAACTTCCAGCTGAGGTGGCAGTACTGAAGGTAAAAGCCCATGGAAGACTAGACACAGAAGAAGCACGTGGCAATCACCTGGCTGACCAAGCAGCTAAAGAAGCAGCACGGCAAAGATGGGAAGTGGACAGAAGAGTGGCCACAGATACACTGCCTATCTATACTATGCAAACATTGCCTACAGACCTCAGGCTTCTGAAGGAACAACAAGCTGCTGCTACTCCCCAAGAGAAACAAGGTTGGAAGAACAAAGGAGCTATACTCCGTGATGATGTTTACACCATTAATCTCAAGTTCTGCCTACCCAGAAGTATGTACCCAGCGGTGGTCCAATGGGCCCATGGGCCAGCTCATCTGTCAAAACTCCTGATGAATTCACTGATTGACAAATATTTCGAAGCACCAGGCATCACCACCTTAACACAGAATTACTGTAAGTCATGTACTATATGTGCTAAATGCAATCCTGGAAAGATTATAAAGACTGCACCTAATCACCTAGCCAAGCCGCAATATCCCTTCCAGAGGATCCAGATTGATCACATTCAGATGCCAAAGAGTGGACGTTATGAATATGCATTAGTCATGGTGGACATGTTTTCAGGATGGCCAGAGGCCTTCCCAGTGACTAACCTCACCGCGAGAACTACAGCCAAGTATCTTTTGACAGAAATTGTTTGCCGCTATGGAGTTCCAGAAGTGATTGAAAGTGACCAGGGGACCTCCTTCACTGCCTCGCTAACACGGGAAGTCTGGTCAGCACTGGGGGTGACCCTTGCATTCCACACACCATATCACCCACAGAGTAGTGGTAAGGTAGAGCGCATGAATGGCACTTTGAAAGCCAGAATGCTTAAAATGTCACAAGAAACTAACATGCCCTGGCCCGAGAGTCTCCCACTAGCGTTATTCAGTGTAAGGTACACTCCCAGAGGAAAATACAGTTTGTCACCTTATGAGATTTTGTTTGGTACAGCACCCAGGTTAGGTTGCTACTTTCCCCAACAGCTTCAGATTCAGTCAGACGCTATGGTAGACTATGTGACTGCCCTTTCACATGCCTTGACCAAGATACATGCCCAAGTGTTTTCTTCTATTCCAGATCCTGAGTCGAATACAGGTACACACAAGCTGCTTCCGGGTGATTGGGTTATGGTTAAGAAGTTCCTCAGGAAACACACCCTAGAACCGAGATTTGATGGTCCTTATCAAGTGCTTCTGATTACAGCAACGTCAGTTAAACTAGCTGGAAAAAGTTCCTGGATACACGCTTCACATTGCAAAAAAGTGCCTGCTCCAGAA